TGTTCAAGTGGTACCAACGCTTAGTCTAAAATGGAAGAAATTATTCCTCAGGAATCTTAGACATAAACAGTTTGGACTGACGGTTTGGATTCTCATGTTTAGGGGCTGACAATGGGTCTTTATTCTTGGTAGGAATTAATTTTGGGTTTTGTGTGGATTTAAAGGTGTTTGGTGAGCAATGTTATGTTCAAGGTTTGCAGAGGTGGCAGTAATACCCACTTCAAGCTAAAGAGAGCAAGAATGGTTGATTCCTGGTGAGGGACGAGGTGTGTGACTGGGGTCTTTTGGGCCTCCTCTGGCTGGATGATACAGGAGCTGTGATATGTGAACACACCCACCAGTGCCTCACATGAATGCTCTAGGCTGAAAGCTCCTGAGGGAGACAGAAACCCACAAAGATGCTCTGCATGGACTGAACTGTGACCCCCGCGTCCATCCCCTCCTTAGTGATGAGCATGCTGTCCCCCTGCTCTGTCCATCTGAAAGTCAGAGTCTCTCCCTGCCGCCACACAAGCAGGACCTAGTCTATCAGGCCAGACAAGACAGTCCCTTTTTACCAGTGGCTTCATACTTTGTTATAACCCACAATAGGAAATAATTTCCTGTTGCAAATGTGTAATGAATTTATTTATTTATTTTTTTAAAAAGTGCTGGTTTGCAAACCAATAGATTGAGTTTACAAATGACAAACAGTTGTGATCTGTGGTTTGAAAAGCACAGCTCTATATAACAAGAGCTAACATTTACAAAAGCCAGACACTGTACTTACAACATTTACATTCATTTAGCTCGTTTCTTTCTCACATCATTCCTTGTATCATTTTGATTTGACAGCTCAGAAAGTTGAGGCTTAGGGAGGTTAATGCCCAAGTCCCCTCAGGTAGTAAGCTGCCGAACAGGACCCACAGGCTTAATGGCCATGCTAACCTAGCTCACTTGCCGAAATCAGAGCATCCCTCTTGTCTGCATTAGTGCCTGTGCCTTCTTCAGGTGTTTTGGCAATGCTTTTTTTCATTACTCCTTATATGCACTTATTTCATTGGCTCATGTGTGCGTGTGTGCACCGGTGGTAGTGGTGGGGCCCCTTTTTATTATGCTAAGGTAATCATGCTGCTCAAGCTGCCAATTTTTTTTCCTTGGGGGAAGAGAGCAGAGAAAAGGTGGCTTCATTTTGAGGAAGTAGGCTGGCCAGTGGCTAATTGCCATTTCCCTGTAAATTCTTGAATCATCTTTGAGGTGATTCTCAAGGTCTGATATGTGTTGAAAGAGACAAGAAAAGGCCATATGAATGACAAGTCCCCCAGAGAAGAACTGAAACCAGGACCTGTGCTTCTGTCTGCACTGACATAATGCCCCTGGGTCCAGGTTACTTGATGTCTGTTTCCTACTTGGAGGATCCCAGTCTCACTCTCTTTCCCTCTTCCTTTGGACAGGTTCATCACCAAGGGAGCATGTAGGTCCAGAGATGATCCAGCTGATGCAAGATGCTCAGGAAGGAGTGCTGGAAAGACAAATAATCTGGCTTCCCTACAGACAGGTACCCTCATTTTCTCAGCATCCATTTACTGGCTTCTCAGTCAACCACACTGTGCCAGGTACACAAGACCCATGCCATCAGTAGGCACCACGGGCCCCTGGTAGGTAACTCCTGTGAGCCCTGAGTGGAGGAGTCTCAAGTTTGCACGTGCGTCAGAATCCCCTAATCCGCTATAAAGGATCCTGACTGCTGGGCTTCACTTCAGAGTTTCACACTCCATAGGTCTGGGGTGGAGCTGGAGATTGCATTTCTAAAAAGGTGCTGCTGGTTTGAAGACCTGGCTTTGAGATCCAATGGCTCAGTATCTTCAAAATGGACTTTAGAAAATTATTCCTGTCTTCACATCTTTTTGATGTTTAAGGCCCTTTGCTTCTACTGGCCAGCATCTCCCTTAAGCTGATGCACTACAAGCTTCAGAATGAAATTTAAAACCCTGGATGGCAGGGCAGGTTTCTGTGTGATGCCACAGTCACCTGGGCATTTTAACAAGTGTCTTTTAGTTTGTTTTATCTGAAAGGTCTCTTCATTAGAATGGTGAATTTTTTAAACTATTGACGTGGCCTAACCAGAAAGCGCAGAAAGCAGGTAGTCCAATTTGTCTTGTTTTGGGCTCTTACAAGGAAATGTTACAAAGAAGAAATATATGACTAAAGGAGACAAAACACATGCATTTCTATTCAAATAACACTGTGCAGATTACTGCCAAGCCTGTGCAAATATGCATAGATTTGTTTGGACCTAAGCATTTTGCATGTCCTGTCTGGTTGCTATGAACAGAGCTGCAGTTGGCAGGCAGAGAGGAACCTGGGGATGACCTCGTCCACGTGCCAGGTCACCTTCCTCTCCACTTCTCCCTTTCCTTCCCTGGAGCCCATGCTCTGAAGGCTCTTGCTGCTGCTGGCTTGTTTTCCCAGAACTTCCGAGACGGAGCAAAATGCCGACGGCCTTTGTGTAGGTAGATGGCCTCTTTCGAAATGCTCAGGAACTCCTCTATCTTTTCGTGTGGCTGGGAGTCAATCATTATGCTGCAAGCGACCACCTCGTTTGTCACTGTGCTCTCACAAAATGTGGTCAGTCTCCAGCAAAATGAAATAGGAAAAAGACAGAGCACAGTGGAGAGTTCCTTCGTATCTTCTGAGAATGCAGCATCTCATTCTGGCTTGAGACTGGGGAATTGTTCATTCTTTCCAGTCAAAAGGCGTGAAAAACCCAGAGGTAGAATCAGGGGGATGTCTAAGGGAGCCTTTCTCTCGGAAAGAGAGAGATGAGTTTCTATTTTTAGGAATTAAAAAAAATTCAGTACATTTTCAACATTATAGACTGCTTAGAAGCCCTATTTTCTTAAAAATTCCACAGAGAAAAGAACCTATTCGGGTTACTTTAAAAGCAAAACAAAATATCTTTGAAGATAGAGTATTCCAGGGCCTCCAAATATTTAAAAAATCCTTCCTAAGGCCCAGCCTGTCCTCCTTAGGGGGAGGACCAGAGCAGCAGTACTCAATCCCAGAGGATCATCAGAAGGGCGGGAGCAAGGCCAGAGGCGCTAAACCAACCTAGAGTCCCTCCTACACAGCCATGCTTCTCTGATTCACTTAACTGGCTGTAAATTAAAAAAATTTAAAGGCATGTGGCGGATGAATGCTACAAACTAGATGTAAAGATAGCATTTTTAAAATGCCCGGAGAGTCTCAGGCTTGGCTGTAGATCATAAACAACACAGTAGCAGCCAGCAGAAGTTCTTTGGTTAAACATCAGAGGAATGATGCTCTTTCTTGGATTTTGAAAAAACAACACATCAGAAGCATGTGTGGAGAGGAGGACTTCGGTGATTTCTTTTAGCTTGACAGCTGTTTGCTACGCAGTCAGAGGAAGAAGGGTCTCCTCAGTCAGATACCAGGAACTCAGCTGGCCGGTGACTTTCTGTAGCAGCTGAGAGCCCGTTAACACAGGGAAAGCAATTTCGGTGGCAGAAAGCCAAAGGAGAGGGGCCTGGTGGCGCAAGCTTGTTCAAAAGACAGGGATGAAAGTTCTTTACAACAACACTAAGATCTCACCAAAAGTGGGAGCATCAATGTAGTTTGTAAAAAGAACAAAACCGAGACGGTGGACAATCTGCTTGCCTCTCAGCATCATACTGCTAGAGAGCAGAGCTAGATCAGAACAGGTTTTAGAAATATTTTATTGTATTTTGTGTCCATGTGTTAAGTACTGACAGAATTGAAATGGTGCAGCAGGTTCCACTGATTTTTCTGATCAACTCTCCCTACCCAAGACTAAATTTACTAAACTTCAGCTCCCACTCCAACCCCAGGAAAAAGCTGAAAAAGGTTGTATTTGTGGCAACTGCTTTAAAAAAACAAAGTGTAAGAATTCCCAGATGGTCACTACTCAGGTTTCTGTCATTTTTGCAGGCCTTGCCAATCCCTACTGTCTAACTCTGGTAGCCAGCCACCACCTCTTTTGAATGACATTAAACACGGAAGGTCCTTCCCAAATGGAAAATGCTACTCCAGTCTCGGCACCATAGTCTAGGGGCCATGATATGCCCCTCACATCATGGTCAGTCACAGTAGGCACACATGAGCACCAGCCTGCAAGCAGCCTCCCAGGTTAAAATAGAGACAGGACATGAATAGGGGCAAATTGATAGATTTAAAGTATCAGAAAGGGAACCCACTTTAGAGATTTACAAAACTTGGAAGAAAGGGCTTATGTTTCGGCCATGTGTGGGATTTGAGGCGCTCACTTAGTCAGCATTACATTGCTTAACTAGCATTTTGCTAGGAAGGGGGTAGGGCAGGGTAAGAGAGTAAGTAGTTGTAAACAAAGGAAAACATAGCGTGCCCGAAATTGCGCAACTGTTTGATTGTGTAAGGCATTTGAAACTGGAAAATTGTCTTTCCTTCAAAGTCTTCCAAATAATCAAAGGAATTAATATTTACTGATTCCAGAATACAAATAAGACCCCTTTAATCTCTCTCCAACATCTGCCCTCTCCACCCTCAAAATCAATGTACATACCAAGCCCAAAAGGTACAAGGCAAGCATCTGATCTGTGAATTAAGAGGCAAACCGTGTCCATTGGGATGAGGCCGCTTGTCAAGGCTCCAGCCCTGATTCTGCCCTGTTCAGGTCTCAGCGGGTAAATGTCAGTCTTCGCTGAGGGTTAATGTTGCATCCGGGGAGCCTGCCACTGCCTGCTGGGCAGGGGGACGTCACAGGCTCTCCTACGGGTCCCCAACCATGCATCTGGGGCCAGTCCCTCTGCCACCAGTGTCACTCATGTCTCAGTTAGTAGAGGTGGGCACAGCCCTGGAGACAGCACCCCTCCACGTTAGTTACGCCAGATAGACAGCAGAGAGAAAACCAGAGGCCAGAGAAATAATTTAAAAAGGAAAAAGAAGAGCAGCTTCGATTACCAAAAAAAATAGAAAGAATGATCTATTAAAAATAAAATGGGGGATTTTTTTTTTTTTTCTCTGCAACGCTCAGCCATTTTACTTGAGACAATAAAAAAAAAGCTTGAGAGTAGTTGCTTTTTTCGGTTTCAACATTCATGAGAACGGGCCGGACGGTAGTGCTGTGATGTGGTTTGTGTCTGAGTGGCAATGCTGGTCAGGGTCCTTCAGACCACGTACTGGTACGGGTCTGCCTTCCCTTGGTCTGGCGTGGCAAAGGGGCTGGCCCAGCCTAGGGAGAAGGGGTGGCCAAAAACGGCTTTCATGTTCATCCATTTTGTTTTTTTAGCCCATCTTCTCTCTTCCTTTTTCAATTGTTCTATGCCCTGAAAACAAGAACAATCATACTTTCAGTCAGGCACTTTTCTGCTGTGGTGCTCTGGGGAGGGATGTCCATTAGCCTGAGGTGAACGTGTAAATGCTTCCTTTTTCAAAGCTATCTAGATAAGACTTTTTCTTCTTTTTTTCATAAAAAAATTGTTTTAAGAAAGCATACTTTTGTTTAGTGGGCGCATGTTTACAAGTCCCTCAGGGAAGGACCATGATAAGCACAGTCAGGACGCATGTAAGGCATCACTCCTGTGACGGCCATCGTTGTGTCTAAGGGACGGAGGACTTTCACCCAGACTGGGTCCGTACTGGGGCTCTACAGAGGTGCTGCAGGCCTGGTGCAGGGTGGTGGGCACGAAGGCGGGCAGGGAAGCCTTCTTAGCTGGTGAGAAGCTGACGGTCATGAAAATCAGTGATGGTCATTCGTCTGGGAGAGGTTCAGAGGCAGTCTAGGGCCACTATGCCCACTTAGGGCTACTATGACTACTTTGCAGACAAAAAAAAAGGAACCAGTAATTGTTTTGGTGCTGCCAGCTGGGAAGCCAAGGCACACCCCATTTAGTGAACTGGTGAGATATAAACTGAGAAGATGGAGTAGGAGTGAGAGACTGGGAGAGGAAAGGAAGTCACCACAGAGGAGGAAGGAGAAACGGTTAGTACAGGTTAGAGGCCTCAGTCAGGGACCCTAGGGGAGGAGTGTGAAGACCACCACCTTGGTACATGTCCCAGGATCTGTGCTGTGCTTCTCTTGCTAAGCCCCAAAAGTGGTGCCTGAGTGGGACCCCCAGTCTGAGTATTTCTTCACAGCCTAGGGACCTGTGAGGATACAGATCACGGGAAAGAAGGCCTTTCCCAAAAAGTTTCAGGGCCCTTCCTTCCTTTCCAACATAATCCCCTTTAGGAGAGTGTCTGAATGGGAAAGAACCACTAAGACCAGGACAGTTACCGATTTCCTTCTGGTTCCCCACACCAGGACCTAGGTAGCCTGCAGCAGCGCAACAGTGACTGGGGTCTGACAAGGTCACCTTTGGGGTATCTGCAGGCCATATGTGGAGTAGCTGGTCACATCTACTGCTCAGATAAACAGTTGGATCTATACCAGTGGTTACTATTTTCACAGAAACTCATATGCAGTAATGTTATTTCATAGCAAAAGGTTGGTGAGGGTCCTCTCAACTGTGAGGAGTCCTCACAGATTTGGATGGTAGGCCTGGGCAGCTGGAAAGCACCATGCTTGCCCTTCTTCACTCTTCTATGTCCACCAGGGAGGTAGGGAAGGGGAAGCTCAGCAGCCTGTGGTTAATAGCTTTGCCCCCTATGAACCTCCATCTAAGCTGACTACCAAATAGGCCCTGAAGTCCCACCAGTGGCCCCCAGACTACTGTGCAGACCTGCTAGCCTGAGGGGACCTCAGGGAGTCAGGAACAGTGTGAGCACAGAGTCACATGACTCCATTCCTCCTCCCCAGAGCTTAGCACTGCCCACCTTCCTGGGGCCTTATATCTATGCCCTACCATAGCCATGGTTTGGTCACCTCAAGGTTTTTGGAGACCTGAGGAAGGTGGAGAGGTGACGCGAGGCAGCAGGGGAGCAGGCTCCAGGCCAGCCCAGCCTAGCCAGCAGCCTCAAAGGTTCTGCTAGGGAGCAGTAAGTGGACTGGGAGTAGGGACAAGGACCAGAGCTGCCAAGTGGAGGTGACCTAAAAGCAAGGCAAGAGCTCGCTGCTCAAAGCCTGACTGTCACCAGATAGCACCTTCAGGACCTAGTTATCGAGTCACACCTCCTCTGACTCGTTAGGCCTCTGACCCTTTGCAGGCCCCCTATCTCTTGGCTGGACTTGCAGAGGGAAAGGATGTCTATTTCCAGTGTTTAGAGAGTGCCTGGCCCAATGTGGTATGCATGAAAAACCACCTCCACAAGGTGAACGGAACTTCCAGCAGGGTGGCAAGGCCCGATTCCTGTTGCAACCTGTTGTGCATGTGTGTGTGTGGTGCATGCGAGTGTGAAGCAGGTCCGAGTGTCGCTGCAAATGCATGATGAAAGCCTGAAGCCCTGGGGTCAAGTCTATATGCTGCCCTCCCAGCAGCACCTGCCAAGGTCGTTCCCTAACTCCAACACGGAGGTGCTGGTGGGGTCTCTGCTTACCGTCTCATCCGTGCAGATGGAGTGCACCTGGGTTCCAAACATCACTGACGTGAATATGAGGAAAAGCAGCCCCTCAAAGCATAGCAGGATGAGGAGGATGACTGTGGTGGGCGGAGAGAAGGAGCTGCATTCTGAAAGAGAAGGACACGGGGGGCTTGGGACATCCGCCACCACCCGCTACCACCACGCCTCCCCCTACCACCCAGGGCCCAGGCTCTGCCTCCGGCCCTGCAGGACAGGTCTTCTTGGCTCTTTGATGACATGCCTCTGGCCTCAAGGTTCTGGGAAAACCGTTCCCTCAGTGGGAACCATCCAGCCCGACACCTGGCTCCTCTCACTTCCAGCTTGGCTGCAAGAGCACTCACTGTGGGAAGCCCTCCTCAACCAGGTCAGCCCTGCTGAAGACGTCCCCCATTCCCTCACAGGCACCAGTCCTTGGTCACGGACTCCTCTGCCGGCCTCCATGTGGTGTCTATAGCCAATGTGTACTGAACTGAGGTGTGAAGAAGGCCTGATGACATTGCAGGGAGACCTTCCTTTCTTCAGAGGGCACCAGACAGCCTGAACAGGTGCAGAAGCCTTGGTTTCCTGGGCATTCCCATATGAGGTGCTGCCTCCTCTGTACCTCAATCTTCTCAAGGGGACAGGAAAGGGCAGGTCTGGAGGACCACTTGGTGGCTCTGGGATTCAAAGCTTGGCAGAAGGCAGTTACCAGCTGGGGCTCAGCCCTGACATAGGGGCCAGAGAATCTCCAGTAGCTTCTGCAGGCCTGGGACACTAACTGAAAAGCTCACAGTAGGCCCTTTCTCTTACCCCTGCTTAGGAGACTCTGCAACTGGTCAAGCCTGCTCTGACCCAGGGTTTAACCTAAAGTAAGTCCTTGTCTCTATCTGGGCCTCTATTCCCTCTACTGTGAAACAGTGTGTGTATGTGAGACTCGGTATGTGGCTTTGTTTGAAGCAGTAGAATCCTTTGACTGAACAGAGTCTAAACTGTAACCAAGGCACGGAACAGAAAGGTAGAGAAAGGCAGTGGTGGAAGATGGTAGGTGAAAGGGGCAGCCCTTCTCTCATAGTCTACCTTTAAGGTGGCCTCTCAGGATCCCCCTGGGGAAATGGGGGCCACACCTAGCATGACTGGCCCTTGGATGGTATGGACAGTATCCTCTGTGCCTCTTGTCTGACTCTCCTGAGGGCTCTCGTCCTCTGGAGTACTGTGACCTGTGCTGGGCCAGCCTGGTTTGGATTTATGAGCTCCAGAGTGCAGGCCTGTTCCCTGGAGGGCAGACTCAGGCTTCCCTGGGCTGTAGAAGTACAGTGAAGAAGTGCTCCTCTGAGCCACCCTGCTGCTCCCTCCCGAGAACGTCAGGGAGAGTAAGGAAAGTCAACTCTGGGAAGGGCTTGCGCAGATACCAAACACTGTCTGGGTGCAAAGGTAAGAAACAGCTCATCTAAAATGCCTTTATCTCCTGTTTTTTCCTTTGGAACTTCACAAAAAGACACATTTTCTTCTTGGCTCCTTGCTGGGCAGGGCTAGATTTGGGCTGTCCTTGGGTGGCTATAGTGATGGTGGGAAGAACTAGGGCTGTGAAGTCAGGCAGACACGAGGGTGCTCGAACCCTGACCTCAACTCCAAATCACAAGCTCTCAACTGCTCCCCACCGATACTATTTTGGCTGCTGTGACTTTCCGACACCTTGCATTGTAATTACCTATTTCTTTCTGAACTTATTTGAGAACTGCCTCTCTCCCTACACTTCAAGCTTTATGTGGGTAGGGGTTTTGTTTTGCTCACTGCTTTACAGCCAGCCTTGGAACGCTACCTGACAACAAAAGAATCTGGACAAGAGGTTGAGTTTTCCTTTTCCCTTCTGCAAAGTAGGAATGTGTGCACCTACCTTTTGCTGATTCCTGAGAATAGCTTTGCAAAGCTAGGTCTAGGCACAGCACTAGCATGGGGGTGGGGAACCCAGTGAATGGAACTGTCTTGCCCTCTCCCAGTACTTCCCTGGAGCTGGAGGGCAAGCCCAGTGGCCTGTTCTTGATCTCTGCACAGTTACAAGTGTTGTTCTCCTCTAGGGAGTTTGGGGAGGCAGAAACCAGACATAGGTTTCTGCTTACCCTTCTTTAAACTTCAACTCGCAGTGCCCTCATCCTGGGGGAGGGTCCCTGGTCCCTGTTATACAAACTCCTAGGGCTGAACAGGGCTGACCAGCGATGGTATTGACCGCCACCTAGTGAGCCTTCCAGGCTTCCGCTCTGGAGCCTCTCCTGTGCTTCCTGTCCAGCTGCCATGGGAGCAGGGCACTTCAGAACCACTTGTCAGGAATCTTGACCAAAGAACCAACAGAACAGCTGAGAAGACTTGGGAATTGGAGTCAGTCAGAACATGTAGGTGGATGCTTTATGTCCTGTGGGACATGCAAGGGTTAAAGTGCTTCACTTAAAGACACAAGAAACAAGAGCTCTCCTCTCCCAGCACAGCTCCTACTCCCTGGAGCTTGCCTCCCAGTGTGGGGCCTGCATTTCCCACTCACTACTTTACCTGAGTAACTGACTTTAAGGGCCTGCTCTTTGTCATGAGGAGAGAGTAGATTCTCTGCTGTCTCTTCCCTGGTCATTCCAGAGGCCTGCAGGAGATCTAGTAAAATGCGGTTGGCCCCTGGCACCACGAAGAGAGCAAAGTGCCCACCTCCCACTCAGGTCACATCCATCCTGGTGCATACTCACTTGTCCAATCTTCTTCAAAGCAATGCAGGAAGTGGAATCCCACCATGATGAGGGCGTGCAGGGAAATGAGAGCTATGTACATCTGAAACAGGAAAGCAGTGCAGACCCCATTGTCGTGACGACCTTCTGACTAGCAGAACATGGGCACACTCAGAACCTCCCTCCCGGGACCATCTAAGTCATAGTGGACTAAGGTGAGACCAGGAGGCAGGGGCCAGAGAGCTAATCCTCCAGCCCTGGGAACTGAGGTGAGCAGCCATCCACCAGGAGTATGGGGAGTAAGAACAACAGTAAAGCCCAGTCACCATGCGGGACCTGGGTTTCAGCAGTGCTGAGCTGCCCACACTCTTCTCACTTGAAAAGTCAGGATGCTGTTTGCCAATGGTTCTTCCAGCTCTACCATTAAACATACTCCATCTACCTGTAATTGAGGGAGGGCTTGAGGGCAGTGCCCAAACTGCCTTCTTCAGCTATGTAGGTCCAATACTTGGGATGGGAGCCCAGAACACAGTCCTTGCTCATAGTTAATTACCACCAAAGTTAATTACCATTAAACACCCAAGTGAAGGGTTTAGGAACATGCACTTGCTGAGCCATGGAGATCTACGCCAGGAAGGAAGAGATTTTCATGGTCCAGCAGTACTCTGATCAGTACAAAGAACACTCAGAGTGCTGAAAATGTTCAAAGGAATCAAGTATTTCATTGTCTCATGGAGGGAGGGGCAGAATTCGGAAGCTGACTTACTGTAAACAGGACGAAGTATTTCTGGTTGTTCTCGCCGACACAGTTATTGACCCAGGGGCAGTGGTGGTCCATCTTCCGAATGCACCGTTTACAAACACTGAAATGCACGACAAACCAGAACTTGAGGGTTTTGTCAGGGAATTGGGAGGGCTAAGTAGGAAACCAGGGAGAAGCAGGAGAGTCCCATCTGCTCCAGTCCCGCCCTCTGAAGTGACATACTGTGGGGTGCTGCCACATGTTTTGAGGATGTGTGGAGCTAGCAAGGCAGGGACAGGACTCCCATGTGCAGAATGAGAACGGAACTCTGGTGGCAATGTAAGGTAAGCACTGGGCTGTTAATCACAAGGAGGGTGGCTGCTCTACAGGACGAAGAGGAGGCTTTCAGCTCTTGGAAAGATTTACAACCTCGGAAATCCGATACAGGGTCACTACGAATTACAACCGACTCCAGTGATGGCAGTGAGTTAGAGGACGAGAAAGCCAAGAAAAGAGGCGGCCTTCTAGAAGAAACAAGAAATAACTGAAGAAGTTGTTTTTTAAAAACCTCACAATGTGGGATGAGCTACAAAGAACAGATGCTTCCAATTTCCCTTAAAGACCAAAACCCAGAGGGTCCAACCCAGGAGGGTGTGGTCCCTCCAACCTGGAGAGTGAGGGGAAGGAGAAAGCTTGTTCCTCATTCCAAGCTGGGTCAAGTGCAGGTTCTGCTCCACGAAGCTTCAGTTCCACATTAATATCCACTTAAGTGAAGATCTGATAGCCCACTGCAATTAAATTGATTCTGACTTACAGCGACCCTATATGATGCAACAGAGCTGACCTCTAGGGTTTCTGAGCCCGTAAATCTTTATGGAAGGCAACAGTTTCATCTTTCTCCTATGGATCGGCTGGTGGGTTTGAACCGGTAACCCTGCAGTTATCAGCCCAACAGCCCACGGAGCCACCTGAGTGCCTGCTGATCAGATAATCTCATTACTTTGCACACTATAAACTTGTTATTGGGGTAATTTTTGGACTGAGAGGGTTTCAATTTTATTTGAAAGCAAACGCCTCCCTCTCCTTTTTGGAAAACGTACACTGATAGTATGAAATAAGAATCCAACATTAATAGCGGTTTAAAGCCAGCCACTGCTCTCCAAAGCTAAAGGTTACAAGGATCCATTTGCCAATAGATGTGCTCATCACAAACTGTCTCTTTTCCAGTTCTGACCCAAAGTCTGTCTTGGGGATAGACTCTGAAATACTACAAATGCAACCTTAGAAGGAAAACAACTAGATTTTTTTGTTAACAGTTCCTTTTGTTCACACCAACTCTCCTCTCCACTTGTTTCCATAGCTCAGGTTCGGAAGTGGGCAATGAGGGTCAGCTCTGGAGGAGAGGTGTATTCAAGCATGGGGCTGTTCACACAGGGAAAGGTCATGCTCTTCCAGGTTAAGAAGTGAGCAGTCCCTGGGACCACAGGGCCTGGAAGCAGACCACTCTGAAGAAGTTCTCCACACAGGGCTCACAGGCAACTCTACGCTACCAAAGAGGGGGTGTGAGATTTGCTGGAAGGCACTTCTGGGTTTGGCTCTGCTCACTTCTTAGTTGAGCTAATGTGGTCAAGCTGGTTCAACTGTGGGCCTTAGGTTCCCTACTTAAACCCAGTAGGTGTTGTAAGGAACAATGAGAAAAGGCACTGGACCTGGCTCAGAGGAGTGGTAGGTTCATGCTGTCTCCATCCTCCCTCTTCTCTACAATTCCCAAGGCCTCACTAACGTGGACATATTGGGAATGGGTACATCTCAGAGATGCTGACTCAGCACCAGGCCTTTACTGGGGGTCAGAAGGGCAGAGTAAGAAAGGGAAACAAGAAAGGGAATGGAGGGAAACAGAAAAGGCCAGGCACTAGCAATTCCATTTTCCATATAAGAGAGAATCGAAAAATGGAATTGCTGGTGCCTGGCTTTCTCTGTTTCGAAACGCTCCATGTTGTTAAGTGCCGTCAGCTGGTTCTGACTCGCAGAGATCCTGTATAGGGTTTCCGAGAAACAGTTGGTGAATTTGAAACACCAACCTTGCAGTTCAAACTGACTTTGCAATCCAGCGCATTATTCCACAGAGCCTTTTCTCTATATGTGTACGGTGGTGGTGGTGTATCACGGAGTTGGTTCTGACTCATAGCAACCCTTTCCCTATGTAGGCTGTAAATCTTTAGGGAGCAGAAAGCCCCATCTTTCTCCTGCAGAACTGCTGATAATTTCGAACTACTGACCTTGAGGTTATCAGTATGTCTTGAACCACTACACTACATACACATAATGGGGTTGGGGCAGGGTTTCAAAAGGTTAATGGGAAATGGAACTGAAAGATATTGGACTCTTTCCATGAACTTTGAGAAACCCTCCTTGTGTGTATATGCATGCTGTTGTTGTGTCCGGCTGAGTCTGTTCCGACTCACAGTGACCTTATATGTGCCTATATGTGTTTATGTATATAAATATCCACCACTTGTCTGTCAGTTATACTGTGGTGGCCTGTGTGTTGCTGTGTTGTTGGAGATTATGCCAACGGCATTTTAAATACCAGCAGGGTCACCCATGGTGGATGGATTTAAGTGGAGCTTCCGGATTAAGACAGACTACGAAGAAGGAGAGGAGAATTACTTCTGAAGGTTTCCCCACTGAAAACCTTATGAACAGCAGCAGAACACTATCAGATAGAGTGTTGGAAGATGAGAACCTCAGGTTGGAAGACACTCAAAATAAGACTAGGGAAGAGCTGCCTCCTCAAAGTAGAGTTGACCATGATAACATGAATGGGGTAAAGCTTTCAGAACCTTCATTTGCTGATGGGGCACAACTCAAAATGTGGAGAAAAAGTGGCAAACATCTGTTAATAATCGGAACATAAAATGTAAGAAGTATTCATTTAGAAAAATGGAAAGTTGTCAAAAATTAAACAGAATGCATTAAGATCGACATCCTTAGGCAATAAATAGTGAGCTGAAATGGACTGGTATTGGACATTCTGAATCTGTTATCATATGGTTTACTATGCAGGGAATGACAAATTCAAGAGGAATGACACAGTATTCATCATCAAAAAGAATATTTCAAGATCTATCTTGAAGAACAATATTGTCTGTGATAAGATAATATCCACATGTCTACAAGGAATACCAGTTAATACCACTATAATTTAAATTTATGCACCAACAACTAAAGCCAGCGATGGTAAAATTGAAGAGTGCTACCAACTTCTTCTGTCTGAAACTGATTAAACATTCAATCAAGACGTATTGATGATTACTGGTGATTGGAATGCAAAGGTTGGAAACAAAGAGGAAGGATCAATAGTTGGAAATTATGACCTTGGTGATAGAAATGATGCTGGAGATTGCATGGCAGAATTTTGTCGGACCAATGATGTATTCATTGCAAATACCTTTTCAAAACAACATAAAAGGGAACATGCTCAGCATTTCTCAAACTGAAAAACTAAAGAAAAAATTCAAGCCCCAACTTGCAATATTGAAGGACTCCATAAACAAAATATTGAAGGATGCAGAAAGCATCAAAAGAAGATGGAAGTTACACACAGAGCCACTGTACCAAAAAGAAATGGTTGATGTTCAGCCATTTCAAGAGGTAGCATATAATCATGAACTGATGGTACTGAATGAAGAAGTCCAGCTGAACTGAAAGCATGGGTAAAAAAATTAAGGCTCCAGGAACTGACGAAATACAAATTGAAACATTTCAGACAACTGATGCATCACTGGAGGTGCTCATTCATCTATGCTAAGAAAGATAGCTACTTGGTGCACCAATTGGAAGATATACATATCTGTGCCCATTCCAAAGAGAGGTGACCCTGTGGAATGTGGATATCATCAGACAATATCATTAACATCACATGCAAGTAAAATTTTACTTAAGGTAATTCAAAAACGGTGACAACAGTACATAGACAGGGAAGTGCCAGAAACTTAAGCCACTTTCAGAAGAGGACGTGAAATTAGGACATCATTGCTGATGTCAGATGGGTCTTCGCTGAAGGCAGAGAATACTAGAAAAATGTTTATTTGTACTTTGTTGCCTATGTAAAGGCGTTCTACTGTGTGGATCATGACAAACTATGGATAGCATTACAAAGAATGGGTATTTCAGAACACTTAAGTGTGCTCATGAGGAACCTGTATACAGACAGACCATGAGGCAGTCATTCAAGCAGAACAAGGGAACACTGAATGGTTTAAAATCAGGAAAGGTTTGCGCCAAGACTGTATTCTTTCACCATACTTATACAATCTGTATGCTGAGCAAATAATCTGAGAAGCTGGATTATATGAAGAAGCATGTGGTATCAGGACTGGAGGAAGACTCATTAACAACATGCCATATGCAGAAGATACAACCTTGCTTGCTTGAAGTGAAGAGAATTTAAAATACTTTCACCTTCAGTGTGGATTGCACCTCAATGTAAAGAAAACAAAAGTCCTCATGATAAATGGAGAAAAGATTGAAGTTATCAAAGATTTAATTTTATTTGGATCTATAATCAACACTCTTGGAGTAGTAGTCAAGAAATCAAATGATGTATTGTATTAGGCTAATCTGCTGCACAAGAGCTCTTTAAAGTGCTCAAGGACAAAGATACCGCTTTGCGGACTCAGGTGTGCCTGACCCACATCACAGTATTTTCAATTGCCTCATCTACATGTGAAAGTTGGACAATGAACAAGGGAGACCGTAGAATTGATGCTTTTAATTTATGGTGTTGGAGAAGAATACTCAAAGTACTATGGACTGCCAGTAGAACAAAGAAATCTATGTTGCACGAAGTACAGTCAGAATGCTCCTTAGAAGCTAGGATGGCAAGACTTCATCTCTTATACTATGAACATATTATCAGGAGGGACCCATACCTGGAGATGGACATCATGCTTGGTAAAATGGAGGGTCAGAGAAAAAGAGGAAGACCCCCCAATGAGATGGATTGGCACAGTGGCAGCAGCAATGGGCTCAAGTGTCACAATTATGAGGATGGCACAGGACAGTGTTTTGTTTTGTTGTGCATAGGGTTGCTATAAGTCGGAATTGATTCAACATCTA